GTCTTGCGTGGCAGCCACAGGTCCTAGGGTTGAAATGCTGGGATTGAGAAGGCTTAGCTGAGGGAGGCTGAAATTTCCACCACGCCCTTCAACTACACTGAAGACGGCACTGTGGACATTTCCTCTTCAGGGGACAAGATGAGCCTGCTGTCCTAGATGCTGAGCCCCAGCGGGAGATTTGGCGACCTGAGACCAAGAACGTTAGGCAACGGTCCTACGCCAGACTCAGGACCTGAGAGTGCCCAAATCAAGTCCAATCACATCCCTGCCTGACCTCTGTGGAGCGCCAGACCGTGGCTTCCCGACTGGTCATCTCTCCCATTTCCCCCCCCAGCACACGGTCCAGTCCCTCTGAGTAAACAGCGGAGCTCAGGGGCTCGCAAAGGCCACGGCAAAATCTCATTTTCATTCTTCAAAGAGCTCACTGAGGAGAAAATTCTTAGGTATGCAACTGAAGGAAGCTGGGCTGTTTAACCAGAGACTGACTCTAGGAGCCCCCTTCCGGGAAGCCACCAGTGGCTTTTAAACGGTGGCCCTTTTTTAAGCTCCCGTGTAAATCCTTAGCCTCTCGAGGCGGGCCCCCGCAGCGCACACTGACTTCTGGAATGAACACTTGGCAAACTGTCAAGAAGCACAGAGACCACGAAGCCAGCCCGATTCTCGACCTGGGGGCTCCATCGAGGGTCCCAGCCCTTGGATGGAAAGCCCCCTCGGGAGACCCTCTCTCGACCCCTCTTGGTGCTCCCTGTTTAGACACAAAGGACTGACCCTCAGAGAGGGCGAATGACCCTCCTCGGTGGCAGAGCTGGCTCAAGGAGCTAGGATCCTCGCAGGCGGGGCCTGTCCACGGCACCACAGTGAAGGTTAAGGACAAAGCTGTCCAGGTGGCTAGGGAACGTGCGTCCCTCCAACCACCGTCCCATCCTCTCATCTATGGTGAAGGTGACTTTCGTTTAGGTTTTTGTCCCATCCCACGCCCAGACTCCCCTCTATTTTCAGATACTGCATATTGGCCTCCTCTGGTCACGTCTAGCTAAACAAGTAGGAGTTTTCCTGGGGAGTGAGACTGTATAAAACAGGCCCTTTGAAAAGCAACCCCAGAGCAAATGACATTACTCAAGGTATCTACCATCAAGGTCATGGCAGGAGAGGGACACAGGAGTCAGGGGTGGGGGTGGGCTCGGGGCAAGGGGAGCAGGGCTGGCATGGGAGTGGGTCCGTGAAATGCTTTGTTTCAACAGAACAGAATACACGCTGAACCCCAAAATCAAGTAATTAAAAGGGGAAGTGCCAAGGGAGATCCAATTTGGAAGCGGGTGGCCAGAAATCTGGGAGAGCTGAAGCCAAACCACTCTACTGAAGAAAGGAGAGAGGGCTTTCGAGGCAGCCTCAGGGGAGGCTGAATCCACCTGTCCGCGGGAGGAGATTTGCAAAGGGCGAGCACAAGTGTCCCCAAAGTGAGCACATCTTGGGCAACGAGGAGAGTTTCTATAGGGAACAAATGGAAACTAAAGACAATCCCACTGTGATCTGGGGAGGGATGAGATCTGGGGACAAGCAGAGCTCAACAGGAGACCCTCGAGCTCGGCAGAGGAGGCGGCCATTCACTGACAGCGCTGGCGCTCTGGGTTAGCAGTGTGTCTGAGGTGCTGTGGGTAACACTGAGGTTGAGGAACGAAGAGGAATGCTCTCACCGTGCTCTAGCACAGCCCTACTCTGGGGACAACTTGACCCAGGGGCAAGAAAACAGGGCTCTTGGTTCAGGCCCATCTGAGCAGGACCAACTAACCAGCAGGAGCAGGTGAAAGAGACCAAAGCAGGAAGTGCGGGCGGGGGGGGGGGGGGGGCAGGAAGAAGAGGGGGGCTACCAACTGAGACTAGGCCAACCAGATCGCTAGGGACTGCCATCTTCTGAGAGATACAGTCTCCCAAGGGCCCAACTGACCCGGGCAGACTCGGTGGTAGCCAAGCCAGGGCTAACCAGGGCCCGGCCCTTGAGCTAATCAGAGAGGCCAACAACAGGTACCCCTCCTCCCCCCCCCCCCCCCCCGCCACGTCCTCAGGGAGTGGGAGTGGACCTAGGACTGTGGTTTCTCTACCCATCCAGGGCCTGGCCCCGGGAAACAATGTGCCTGGTTGTAGACAGGAGCCCTCCTGGGGAACTCAAACCATACTTTTGTATCCTTGTAGAAAAGAGAGAAGCTGGGGGCCTGTACCCCTCCCCTCCCCCACACTTGGCCAGGGCTCCCTCTCCAGACCAGCTCAGAGTCACCTTTGTGACATCACATGACAAATAAAGAGGGCGATGACTCAGGCACCCGGTTGCCCCACTACAAGACTCCAGAATTCTGTGAACAGTATATATTGGGCATCCCTGTAGTGGCCGAAGGCATTTCTGACTCGAGAGTCTAGTGAGATGGTCTCGGGGTGAAAATGCTCCCGATCTAGACTTAGCTCCATGGCTGGTCAGAGTACCGACAAGGTATACCAAGTCAAGCTGCCTCCCCCTGGTGATGGGGAGGCAGCAACAGAGGTCCCACCTAAGTCCTCCCTGGAACCAAATTTGGATTCCAGGGAGGTTTTAGAGAAGCATGAGGACCCAGCTGGGAGCCGAGATCCAGATCCCCAAGACGACCCACAGCCACAGGCCCCAAACCTGGGTGCCGCCAATGTGGGACAAAACATTTTCGGGCTCTCCTTCCCGAGGAAGCTCTGGAGCGTCGTGGAGGACACCACCTTCACGTCCCTGCGCTGGAATGACGACGGCGACACCGTGATCATCGACGAAGACCTTTTCCAGAGGGAGATTCTTCGCCGGAGGGGCCCAGAGAGAATCTTTGAAACTGACAGCTTGAAGGGGTTCATCCGCCTAATGAACCTGTACGGGTTCAGCAAAATACGCGCGGACGACCCTCCGGTTCACGCCCCGGGGAACAAGAGGATGATGGTAACGTACAAAGTCCTTGCGTTTCCCCTGTTTTCTGTCCTTCCAACAGCTTCCCAGGAGACCCAGATGAAGGATCTCCCGAAAGGGTTTAATTTCTTATTGATACTTTATTAACATGTTTCTCTGTGCCTAAACAGAAGCCAGGGAACGTCAGACAGGTGTGTGAACCCCTTAACCTATGCGTGCCGTGTCGTCGGTGAGCCCAGGCTCTAGGGCGTGAGGAGCCTCGCAGGCAGCCTCAGAGGACCTTTCCTCCATAGTAGAACTAGACCATTATCTAGGCCATTATGACAGCCGGGGGGGGGGGGGGGGGAGGGGCTGGGAGTAGTGGTGGCGCCAGTGGTGGCCGCGGTGGCCGTGGCAACGGCGGCAGTAGCCGGGAACGCGGTTCTTTCCTTCCAGAATGACTAAAAGGATGAATCTCGTTTCAGATGTACCGCAACTCCAACTTCCGGCGAGACAGGCCCGTGCTGCTCGAGAATATTCAGGCAAAAGGTAACCTGAGAACTGGCACCGGGTGGCTAGGAAGCAGTGCAACACCTCTAAAGAGGAAGAAGCAGGTAGCGGCGACGAGACGTTCCCCACGAACCCATCACAACGAATCCACCCAGGAGGACAAGGCGGAGCCCAAAGAAGCCCCAAATGTTCAGGGACCCAGTGGCACCCAGGCCTTTTCCTTCACTGGGATCTGGGCCCTGAGCGGCGTAGCCAGATATGCCATGGCAAATCGGGGCCCAAGTGAGCCGGGGGGCCCAAGTGGGGAGGGCACCTCCAGGAATGTGATGTTTGCGCCCCCGGCTACTGCCGGAAGGGGCGGCGCGGGGGAGCTGCCCGCTGCCCCCCCGCCCTACCCAGATTATGAGTCCGTGCTGTCGCTGTACAACACCTGTTATTCCATCCTGCTGGCTGCCCTTTTGTTCATGTCCCCACACGAGGCCCCCAGTGAGAACGAGGAGCAGGAGGATTCCTCAGACTACAAGTGTGCACTCTGTGAACACTTCAAGGACAACCCGGGTCCCTAAGCTCACAGGCCACTGGTGACAGATAAAAATCACGATTGTGTAGCCCTGGCTCTATTTTTGGCTTGAATAAAGAAAAGCAAAGCTCCGCAGGAGTAAATAAGCAATGACAACGGCGAGTCTGTGTCCTTTCTCACTTGCGATACTACACACACCTCACTGGATAAACCCGAGGAGGCTGCGGATCCTGGCCCAGGACCGGTTTTGGCCCCCGTGGGCCCTCTTGTCTTTGAAGCGGCGGCATTTTCACCCACTCGGCCAAGGAGTGTCGAGCGGCTAGGGAGTGTGGAGGCAGGCCCAGGGAGATCTGGTCGCCTGAGCCTTGCCTGCCGGCCAGGAGACACAACAGCCTCACTCCTGACCTTGGCGCTGTCCGTCCCCCTTTCCAGCATTCACGAAGCTTGAGACAGGAGGGGCTTTCCTCGTGGGTCCCCCTGTGATGCCAGCAAGTTTCTGATCAGCAGCTGAGTGCTTCTAGCGCGGGGGCCAGGGGCCTTCCAAAGAGGCCCACCGGAAAAGCAGGGACGTAGGACCCCTTTAGTCGAGCTCAGAAGACACAGGCCATTCCAGTCAATGGCGGGGTGGGGGTGGGGGGCGCGGGCGGGGCTGGCCCACCATCCTCGTGGGTAACAGCCACTAGAACCTTGGCTAAGGAACACACAAAAACCAACAACAAAAGATTTCCCACAAAATACACAACCCAACTTAGCACTTCTCCATCAGTGCTGTATCTAGGATCCTTTCCCTGCACACGAAGCAGCCGTGCCATGTGTGGAACACGCACGCTTCACGGGCCGAGGGACGCCTTTACAACAGAGCAAGAGTCACCTGCGAGGACGGACGGGTGCTCTGTTTCTCGGGCTGATGTCCCCGTCACCGTGAACGGGGCCGTCCGTGGCTGGCCACTCCCTCCCGGGCCTTCCTTCAGCGCCGGCTCCCAGCCTTCCCACAACATCCCCTGGACGCTGTTCGCTCTCCGACTTTTGACCAGAACGAAGACGGGGGGATACACTAACCAGTTCTCTTAAGGTGTGTTTCTTTTTTTAAAGATTTTATTTATTTCACAGAGAGAGACACAGAGGGAACACAAGCAGGGGCAGAGGGAGAAGCAGGCTCCCCGTGGAGCCGGGAGCCGGACGTGGGGCTCGATCCCAGGACCCCGGGATCATGACCCGACCCAAGGGCAGACACGTAACGACTGAGCCACCCAGGCGCCCCGAAACGTACTTCCTGGTGCAATCCAGATTAGTCGCGGTGCAGAGGCCTTTACGGCCGCTTTCCCTTTCTCCTGAAGCTCAGAGTCCTCGAGCCTGTCGAGGAGCCCAGACGGGCAGCTCACAAGGAAAGTCCCGCCGGCCCGTCCCCCGCACGGGAGCGGGGAAATCTGTGTCCACGAACAGCACGCAGCGGCAGCGCTCTCCGCGGCAGGGCCCAGCCGGACCAGAGCTGCGGTCCCCGCCTGCGGCACGACGGTCAGCTCACGGGTCGTGACTTAGCTGGCTTCTCCGTAACCCCGCACGCTCCTCAGGCCTCCTGCCCCGAGGGGAGCAGGTGCTCTGGGATGTCCACCTGGAAGACATCCTTCCCGCCTTTCCTGGGGATGGGCTCCAGCAACCACCTGGGGTTCGAAAGCGCCGTGAGGTACTTCTGCCTCAGGCTGGTCAGCACAGCTCGGTTTTCCAGTTCCACGACCTCATCGGGAGCTAAGTCTTCTGGGCACGGCAACGTTTCCCCAACGTCAACAAGCCCTGTGCACAAAGAGAAGCACGCGCTGGTTTTTCCTTCCAGAAACCGAGGCCCGCCTGTTGGGAGAACACGGTTATCGAAAGCGACACCCACCAGAGACCACGAGGGTCTCACCAAGGGGCCACGGAGTACACTGGGCCCCTCTGGCCGAGCATTTGCGACGTGCCAAACTCTGTTCAGGGAGTTCTGGGTGGGGCCGAGGGACGGAGAGAAAGAAGCGGAGGGCCTTGTCCTCAACGACCACGCCCGAACAATGGGCTGGTCCCAGCCAGACTGCTCAGGGCAGCAGGCGGAGAGCAGGAGGGCTCCAGACGCCAGGGGGGGAACAGGCCATCAGGTCCCCGAGTACTTCGGCAGGTGGCAGGTGCGGCGCTGGGACCCGACCCACCGAGGGCGCAGGGAACTTACCCGGGATGCGGGGACCGTGGGGGTGGGGCGTCGCCCACGAAGCCAGGCAACAGCCTGAATCTGGAGGTTACCCCAACCCACCCCGGGTCCCGCGGTCCCCGCCCCCCATGGTCTCTGCCGCGTGTACGCGCACGCACACACAGACGCGCACACACTCGTGCGCAAACACACGGGGGTACACAGACACACCCACAGGCAAATGCCACGTGGAGACTCGGAAGCTGTCCCTGCCTCTCAGATCAAAGATGGGAACTGAGGCCCAGAGCGGACGCAGGGCTCCCCTGAGGTCGTGGGACCTCGGCGACCCCCCCACCCCCAGCGCACGGCCCCTCGCTGCCCCTCCGAACGGTGTGTTGCTCGGCTCACACACCAAGCGGTTCAAAGGAAAACAAGCCGCAACACTCCCGAGCGAGGTCCTGCCGCGTAGCCCCTGGAGGTGTCTGAGCAGCATGCGGCCTGTCATCACTTGCCAGCTATCACGCCACGGCCGTACTTCTCCCCTTCCCGAAGCAAGGCCTGAATCTGAGCGGGGCCCATCCCCAGCCTCTCCACCAGCAGCGTCCTCCACGCGGCGTCTTCCCAGTCCCTGTGGGCGATGTGGACGGCGATGGTACAGTTCCGGTGGCTGCTCAGCAGAGGACGCCAGCGCGTCTCCACGGTCTTGACCCCATTTAAGACGAAACCCGCATAAGGCTGCCGGAAGGAGAGGCAGCCGAACTTCATCTCCCTACAGCTCCTGGGGCCTCCCCTGGCCTGCGGGAACACGGAACCACGAATGTCAATGAGCATCACGCCCAGCGCTCCAAGCCCATGACCCGCGGGCAAGGCCTCTCCCCAGTGTCCCCCGGGTTGCCCTGAGACCCCACTGACCTGGACGGTGGGGCAGCCGAGAGCCCTGGCCCCTTCCTTCTATCACTACACAGTCAACCGACAGGCCCAAAGGAAGGGGCCGGTGATCAGGCCTCCTTGTCCATCAGATGGAGTCTTGGGCGAGCGCACCGACGACGGTGCAGACAGCTAGAGAAGGGCATGGCCAGGACAGCACGTGGTCAGTGCTACGACGGAGGCCACGGAGCCCCAGGAGAGCACAGAGGCCCCTGGGTTTAACGAACGACTCAGCGAGCTGGCTCTAGCCCTCTCCCAGCACAGACAGGGCCAGTCCTGGGCTTCGCTGCTTCTCCTGCCAAGCCACTCGGGTCCCTGGCCCTGCCACCGCTGACACACTGCACACCCCCGGGCTCCTGTCCTGGGGCGGCGGAGCACAGATCCTTGGTATCTGACCTCAGCTCGGCGCTGGGGGCGCCCCGCGATCTCAGATGGCCCCGGCCCCTTTGGGTGCCACCCTCCTCTGACCCCTTCCTGCCCCACTGCTCTCCACTATCAACAGACACCCCCAACCCCGACCTGAGCCTAGAGAAAGGAAATACAAGAGCAGGACCAACTGGTCCCGGGGCGCACGCACTGTCTCTACGCCAAGCACAGGGGAGGGGCACGCACCACACACCGTGGGACTCAATCCTCAAATCACCCGGTACGGTGGCGCTACCATCACCCCTCTCCGCATCTGAGGAGGAGGTGCCGAGGAAGAGACAGATGGCCCGTGACTGCAAGGGGATCTGAGTGCCTGTACCCCCTGCCCTTGCACCTGGACGGGGCGGGGGGGGGGGGGGGCGGGTCCCCCCTCCTCACGGGAGGACAGAGCTGTGCAGTGGGAAGAGCAGGGCCCCGGGCCTGAACCTCAGCTGGGTCCCGGTACCTCACGGAGCCTCAGTCTCCAGCGTGGCTGTGAGGATCGGGGACAAGGTGCCAAGGGCACCCAGCCCAGTACATGGCACCTAACAGGACAGTTACAAACAGTGTCTCCCATCATCATCATCATCATCATCATCATCATCATCGGGCCTGGGGCTCTACACTGAGCCCATGAGTACCACCTACTCCGGCTCATCTCTGCTCCCAGTTCCTCAAGTACATAAACCTGGCCTCAATGACATTCTCTTGTTTAAGGAAACACATCCACTCTCAGAGACAAGGCCCCGTGATCACAAAAGCTGCCTCACGTTCACCCCCTTCCCAATCCACCGTCCTGCCCGTCGCCACGTCCAGACCCGCTGCCTTCCGTCTTGTCTCTCCGGCCGAGCTGCCCTCAGCTGTGCTCTGGGGTCTAGCACTCTGGCTCACTCCGGGGCCTGGCTCGGTCATGCTCCTGCTCAGGCAGCCTCCCTCCCGTCCCCCGTGAGTAGGCGGTCCCGTCTGCAGAGAGCCACACCTGTGTCTCCCTCACCGCAGGGACAAAGACTCCCCCCGCCCCCCCCGCCGCCCCCCCTCCCCCCGGGGCCCACACAGGCCTCCAACTCCTGCGGCGGCCTTCTCCAAACCTGTGCATAGCAGAGGTCCCCCCAGAACAGCCGTCTACACTCGCAGCCTCTACTTCCTCGCCATGCACCGCACCCCACCTTCCACGAACACACCCTTGACCCGCCTGTCTCGTCCTCATCTAACTCGTGGCCGGACAGCCCGGACGCGGTCGACCACCTCTCGTTCCCTTCTTCTCAGGCTTGCGCATCGCACGCTCGCCCGCTCTGCCCCCGTTCACACAGGCCATGCCCGCTTCGTCTCAAGCCTCCACAGCCAGCAGCCCCAGGTCCCCAACCACCGCCACCCCAAATCCGCTTCCGTTCCACCTCGGCAAGTGGTTTCACCACCCATCTGTTGTTCCAGTCCCCCTGACCTAGCAGCCGCTGCGCTCCCTTTCCCGCACCCGGCACTCACATCACGTGGGCGCCGGTCCCCAAACCCACTCAGAGCCTGACCCGTCTCCATCGTCTGCACGGCCACCATCCCAGCCTCAGTCTCCCAAGGTCCCGCTGCCCTCTCGAGCCGTCTCCCGAGCACCCTCTGCCTCGCCGCTGGAGCGCAGCACTCCCGGGTCCGCACCGAGGACAGGGTGGTTCTGGTACAGGAGTGATCCATCGTGTCACTCCCCTGCCAAAACCTTCTAGGGGCCTCCTGTCCCGTCCAGGACAGATCCACACTTCTCGCCAGGGCCTAAAGGCCCCACGTGATCTGCCCCCCAACCCCCCACCCCGCTGTCTGCTCCCTTCACCCCTCTACTCAGCACCCGGCAGCCACGAAGGCCTTCCTTCCATCCCCGGAACAGTCCAAGTTCATCCCTCCCTCGGGGCTTTCGTAGGTTGTTAACGGGTTGCATTATGTCCCCACCAAATTCGTGTGCTGGAAGTCTCGATCCCCAGCACCTCAGAACATGACCTCATACATAAAGGAAAGGTCTTTACAGACCTTTTGAGTTCAAGTGAGCTCAGCTGGGCAGACCCTCACCCGGTATGACTGGTGTTCATACGAAAGGGTGAAGTTTAGAGACAGGCATGTGAAGACACAGGCAGAGATCTACAAGCTGCGGGATGCCAAAGATGGCCAGGGAACCACCAGAAGGTGGGGGGCGGGGGGGGGGGGGGGCGGAACACCTTCTCTCCCAGCTCTCAGAAGAGGCGAGTTCAGCCGAGGCCCTGAGCTCGGACTTCCAGCCCCCAGAGACGGGAGACAATGCATTCCTGTTGCTGAAGCCAGCCAGTCTGTGGCAGTCTGGCACAACCACCCTGGCAAGCTAATTCAGGGGTAGGGGTAAGCTCTGTCCTGGACGTCTCCACAGGGTGCACCGTGCTTTCTCCCTCAAGGGCACACCCAGCCCCTTCCTTCATGTCTGTACATCTTCACCCATCATCTTTTTCACTGCCTGCGTGGCATCCCGTGCTTGGCTGTCCCACCATTTGCTCACTAGTCCCTTACTGACGGAGACTCACAGACTGCGTTGCACTTTCTGCCACTACAGAGGACATCACCACGGACGCCCGTTGGCAGAGGACGTGTTTAGTAGGCGGCTAGGGTCACGGCATGCACGTCTGAGATGCTGATACAGGCCAGCAGAGCGCCTTCCACAAAGGCTCCCCCGTGTATGCTCCAGCAACCACGGGCAAGGGGTCCACTGCCTCACTCCACTGTCGGCCCTGAGCATCGTTCCTCCGCTTAAGCTCTGCCAACCCGATGGGTGACAAAGGGTCGCCCTGTTCACTGGGTCCGGATTATTCACGAGGGAGGCTGGATATCCCCCTGTGGCCTGGCCCTTTCTCTTTCTTCTACGACGGTATATAACTGGACTGCAGGTTTGCCTCATTCAGTGTCTTGGCCAACCTTTTTCTCATCAGGGCCACAAAGACACAAGGAGAACTGAACTGTGTGGGCGGAACCCCTAGAGGGATGGAACTGTAAAGCTGCCCTCCTGTCTCGCCATGCAGAGTACCTGCTTTGTGGTCTGACGAGGAAACGCTATTCCACTTGTCTGGCCTTCTTCGCCTGCACGAGGACTGGAGTGGGGAGGGGGGGGGGAGAAGAAAAAGTCATTAGGTACAAGAGGACAATGTTGGCTAATGTGCCAGAACAGGTTTTCTGCTCAGCAGGGATGGGGGACCCCTGGGACTCAGGCGGGCCCGCTGGATGGTTAACACCTCACTCGAGGTTTGGTTCTGCTAATCACATGATGCCCTAGCCAGCAGCTGAGAAAACTCTCATGTGAGGGATCCTGTTCTCACAGCCTCGCAGACCCCTTATCCAACAGGAGAAAGATGACACCACTCCCTCACACTGTCACAGGGGAAGGACTTGGGGGCCCTACGATCCCGGTCCCCTCAATAAAATCCTGAGTAGGCCCCACTGGGAGGAGTGCCACGGGTAACCAGGGGAACACCGCACAGCCTGGGACCTCAGGTAGGTCACAGCCTGGTGGCCAAGGGGAGGCGGGGAGGGACGCAGTGAGGGAGGACTGGAGCTCGTGGACCCGCGCGCTCCTGTTTCTATGTGCACAGGTCCACTGCCTGTACATGCGCTTAGAAGGATGGCGGGCGTGTGACTGTGGCTGGAGGAGGGGATAGCGAAGGGTGGCCTGGGCAGCTCTGCGCGTGCTTCCAGACCCCCCCACCCCCCCCGCCCGCAAAGGCCCGGAAAACCCCAGCACAGAGGTACCAGCCCGCGGAGGGCCCAGCAGGCCTCAGCAGCAGGGGCTTCCTGGCTCCCTCTGTGGCGGGCGGGTCTCCCGGCACCGAGTCGCGGGCGCCCCTGGCTGACCCGGATGCGGCCACCAGGCGGGACCGTCCGCTTCCGCGTGACCCGGCGAGGCCGCCAGCGCCTGGACGACCGCCTCCCACGCCCAGGCCAGGAGACGACGCGGGCCGCGGAGAGCGGACAGAGCGCTCGGCCCGCGTCGGGGCTCTCCCGCCATCGCCGCGGCCCGGCACCGGGGACCGCACACAGCTGACAGGCGTCGGCGGTCCCTCAGCCGACAGGCTCGCACAGACGCCGGCGCCCCTCCCTTGCGGGGCGTACGCCCGCTCGAACCCACGTAACGCACTCGGAGGTACGGAACACGCCCGTTCGCAAGCACGTCGGCACGCAGCCGAGCAGTTACGTACACACGCACCTACGTACACACGCACATAGGCTCGGAAGCCCCGGCCGCCAGGAGACGTGTGGGGGACTCACCCGGCCCCGACTCGCGGGGGAGGACCCCGGTGGACCGGGAGGTAGACGCCGGCGGCTCGAGCGGAACCGGAAGTCAGGAAAGAAATGGGGTGGGGGGGAAGGGGCGGGGCGAGGCGAGCGGGGGGGGGGCTGTTCCGTGGGCGGGGCTACGGGAGGCGGGGCAGGGGGAGGAGTGTGTGGGGGTCGACCTGTGGGAACGAGCTGGGGGACGAGCTGTGAGGCAGGGCTGGGGGAGTAGCTGGGGCGCACCTGCAAGAGGGGTGAGCGCGGCGAGTGAGAAAGAGTTGGGTACGAGCTCGGGCACTGCGAGGGGAGGAGCAGGGAAGGAGCAGGACAGAGCTGGGGGGAATGTTGCGGAGAAGGGGCTGTGCGAAGAGCAGGGTGGGCCTGAGGAGGTGTAGGCGGGGGGATCTGAGCGCTGGGGTAACGGAGCTTGGGGCGGAGCCACAGGAGAAGCTCGGGGACCCCTGGGGATGAGGACCTGGCGAGTAGCAGGGCGGAGCTGAGAGGAGGAGCTGGGCGGGGTGGAGCTGAGGAAGTTGGGAAGGCAGTGCTGGGGAGGAGCGGGATTAAGCTGGGGAGGTGGAGATGGACGTGGAGCCTTGGGAAGAGCTGGGAGATCACTGCCGAGGAGGACCTGGGCAGTTGTAGGGCAGGGCGGGGGACTCTGGAAAGGCGAAACTGGGGGAGGAGTAGGGCGTGGCTGCCGGAAACGTAGGAGGAGAGCTGGGGTTGAGCGGGTTGGAGCTGGGAAGCGGCAGGGAGGGCCTGGCGGAAAGGTTGGCGAAGTAGCTGCCAACGGGGTGTGGGGCTGGGGGAAAGCTGGGAGGAGGAGCTGTGGCGATGCCAAGCGGGCTTGGGCAGAGCAGAGCGATGTCGGGGAAAGCTGGAAGCAGAAGCTGGGGACGAGCGGGGCAGGGCTGGTGGGTAGCTGCGCGGAGCAGGATGGGGCTGGGGAGGGGTAGGGCAAGTTGGGGGAAAAGCTGCGAGGAGGAGCTGGGGCAGGGCTAGGGCGGAGCATGGCGGGCCTGGGGATGCTGACAGGAGGTGCTGTGGAGGAGCGGGGCGAGCTGGAGGAAAGCCTGGGGTAGGAGCCAGGGCGGGCTAGGGAGGAGCTGGGTGGGGCTGGTGGTATAGCTGGGAGGAGGAGCTGCAGGGCAGCGGGGCGCGGTTGGGGAGTGGCACGGTGGGACCCGTAAGATAGCAGGGAGGCGGAGCCGGGGAGGAGCAGGGCGGGACTGTCGGCTGGTTGGGAGGAGGAGCTGGACGGGACGGGGCGGGGCGGAAGCGAGGGCGGGGCGGGGCGGAAGCGAGGGCGGGGCGGAAGCGAGGGCGGGGCGGAAGCGAGGGCGGGCCGGGCGGAGGAGCTGCGGCGGGGCCGGGCGGAGCCCGGCGGAGCAGGCGGGAGAGTCGGACCTTGGGAGAGCCGGGCCCGGGGAACAGCGCGGGGCCTGGGCAAGGGCGGCTCAGTGGCCGAGGCCAGGCAGTTCCCTTCTGCCTCCCGTGCCATAGGCGTCCGGTCGGCGCCGCACCGGTAGGCAGCAAAGTGGCAGCCCCAGCGTCCTCAGCGACCTCAGGTGACCCTCAGAACGGACCCCGGAGAGCACGGAGGCGGGGAGAGGGCGGGACCTGTAGGTTGAGTCGTGCACCTGGGCGCTGAAGGCCGGGCGGGCTCTCCTTCCAAGCCACCCTGGGACGGCCAGCGGGGGTCCTGAGGGACGGTCTTTATATGAACCTTTTTTGCAGGTGAGAAGAGAAATTCCTCTTCTGTTTCCTGCTGCCCGTCAGACCTGACCTGAGCCAGACAAAGCCAGCTTCCCTGTCAGAGCTGTTTCCTGTCCTCTGCCTCTCAGTCAGGGGCTCAACACACTCAGTGTCGCCGTGCTTTGCTCCTGGGGTCCCCTTACCCTCACCCTCCTTCCGCATTTGCTTGGTGACCAAGTCCTGTGTCCCTGCCTCCCACATGCCTGATCAGAATAAATTCTCCTCTTCCTGTCCCCACTGCTACCTCCTGAGTTCAGGCTTGTGGTCTGGGGCTGGTGGCTTTTTTTTTTAATATATTTTTTTAAATTTTATTTTATTATGCTATGTTAATCACCATACAGTACATCATTAGTTTTTGATATAGTGTCTTTAATTCATTGTTTGCATATAACACTCAGTGCTCCATGCAGTACGTGCCCTCTTTAATACCCATCACTGGGCTAACCAGTCACTCCACCCCCTCCCCTCTAAAATCCTCAGTTTGTTTCTCAGAGTCCATAGTCTCTCAAGGTTCGTCTCCCCCTCCGATTTCCCCCCCTTCATTTTTCCCTTCCTGCTATCTTTTTTTTTTTAACATATAATGTATTATTTGTTTGAGAGGTACCGGTCTGTGATTCAGCCGTCTTACACAATTGACAGCGCTCACCATAACACATACCCTCCCCAATGTCTATCACCCAGCCACCCCATCCCTCCCATCCCCAACCCCTCCAGCAACCCTCAGTTCGTTTCCTGAGATTAAGAATTCCTCATATCAGTGAGATCATATGATACACGTCTTTCTCTGATTGACTTATTTCGCTTAGCAAATACCCTCTAGTTCCATCCACGTCATTGCAAATGGCAAGATTTCATTTTTTTTGATGGCTTCATAATAGTCCATTGTATATATATACCATATCTTCTTTGGCTTTTACCTGAGCCTCCACACCGGCCTGGATGCCTCCTGTCTTTCCTCTGCCAGTAGATCCTCCACATGCCATCAGTTCGGTTTGCTTTCTTAGCTGCACATCTGTCCTCATCAACCCCGTACCGAAAACACTGGTGAGTGCTCTCCTATTTACACTCCATCACCTCAGGGCCCCAGGAGGGCCTTCCAGTGGCACCAGCCCTCTCTGTCCTTATAGGCCAACACTGGGTCACTGTGCTGCGGAGTCCCTGTACCCTGAGCACACATACTCTACCAAGACTCCCTGCTGCCTGGAATGCTCACCTCCTCTTCCCCTGACCAACTCCTGTCCTCCTTCCAACCATAACTTTAGCATCCCCTGTACTGCCCCACATCCAAGTATCAGGCACTCTTCTCTGCCAGTTCTGGGAGCACTCTGTACTTTCCTTCGTACCTCCCTTCACTGGGCTCTCACCTCCCAGTGCTCTAACTGCTCTCCAAGAGTCAATGGCCCCCTCAGGGGCACCGAGTTCCTCGCAGGCAAGGACTGTGTCTTCCTCATTTCTGGAACCCAGGTGCCCAGGACGCGGTAGTCACACAGAGAGGACTGCTTCGTCTTCCAGTGAGCCGTACCTTCTCTTTGCAGAATCTGGAAGGAACAGGAGTGCTGGCCGTGAGGTTAGGGCCAGAGGGTATCTTCATGGAGTTTAGGCCTCAGGGCTGCAGAGACTGTTTTCTCCACACCATGATTCTGTCCCCATAATATACCACATGTTCCTTTTAGAAAGTCCTTGCCAGTTTTCACCCTGGCTCTTTGCCGTGCCCACATCCCCAGGACATCGCCTCTTCTGAGCCCATGGCACCCGCTCAGTGCAGAGCTCCCTGTCCCCGATGGCCGGTCTGAGCACTTGCCTTTGCAGTTTCTCATGCTTCTGTCCAGTGACCTCTGTCCACCAGGCCCCTGGCTGCAGCAGCCCCTTCGGAACTGGCCACCACTCTTTCTCTTGGTGCTCATCACTCTGGCTCTGCCATCCTCTTTGGCCCTGATGTTCTCCTGCCTAGCTGATTCTCTGCTCAGTGCAATCCCTATGCACCACCTCCCCTTCTCTCCTTCCCTGAGCCTATCACGCATTCTTTCACTTGCCAGGAGGTGCAGACTGTGTGGTGGAGAATGCCACTGCCTCCCCCACCCATGTGCTTCTTTGACTTTGAGGCCCAGAGAGGCTTCTAGTTTGTTCCTGCTACGTGTTTTCCGGCACTACTGGTCTGGGACCGGCTTGACCCAATCCCTGGTTTCCCTCACTTCTTGCAGGTCTGGTTCCTCCTCTCTGAAGTACCTTTTGCCCATCTTTCTATTGGGTTGCTTGTGGTTTTTGTACCGATTTGTGGGAGCTCCTTTTTCTTTTCTTTTCTTTTTTTTTCTTAATTTTTTTTTTTTTTAAAGCAGGCTCCACACCCAACGTGGGGCTCGAACTCATGACTAAGAGTGGCAGTGGGAGCTTTTTTTTGAAGTGTGGATCCTAATTCTAAGGTGGAATTAGGATCACCTTTGTTTGTGTCTCACATTCCTCCTCCCCTGCGGACTGGTTTCCTCCTCTCTTTGTAGGCCTGCTTTCAACTCAGTATTTGCACAGACTACGAATTGTAAGTGACCCCAAAGGTCAGGGAGTGCCCCAGGGCCCCTCCTACCGGAGGCTGCCATCCACCCCCAGCCCTGCCACCTGAGACAGGCAGTCCTAAGAGGAGGTGCCCCAGCATCCAGAACTCTGCCCATGAGAAAGGGCTTCTTCTTGTCTCTGTAATGGACTTGGTTACTGCTTAGCTTTAGTTCTGCACCCTGGATTCACACGGGAGAAGCCCTGGGGCAGTCGTGTGGCTGTGGAAAGACAGCAAGCCTTGTTTCTTCTGCTCCAGCACTCCCATTTTACCTCCAGATCCTCATCTGGCCCGTTTCCAAGATGCATACTCCCCTAGCCCTGCCTTCCTCTCTCTGCCCCCTGGGCAGCTTTGGTCGGCTTTGTCCCTCCCAACATGGCCCAGATCAAGTGGTCCATCCAGCCTAAGAACTACACTCATTTCTGGTTTTGTTTAAATGACACTCCAAGTGCATGGGAAGAAGCTGTACCATGGGGAACCTGCAGACACAGGTGGGCTACTTGGATGCCACTGGTCAGGTCTGGTGCCTAACAGAATATGACACAACAGAGTTGGGACCTTAGGAGTTCTGTAGGCTTCTGGCATCCCCCACCCTTGCATTTCTATTACAGCTTACTGTATCAACTTTAATTGGGGGAGGGAGATGCTCCCTTCCATGTTTCCATCGCTCCTGAGCTCTTCAGCATTATCCAAAGGCAAGAAGGTTTACCATTTGGGCATGTTTCCCTAGTTCTTTCTCTGTGAATTCATGCTGTATTACCATTTTGTCATATACTTTTTCATTTAACATTAAGTATTTTTCCATGTTCTGAAAGATTCCTCAGAAGACATCTCACTAAGCTCTGCACATCATCCTGGAGTATATTGGATTCCAGACTCTCCCTGCTCAAGACCAACTGACAGATGCTCAGGGATAGCCCAGCATACCTTGGACCCAATGACATCCTCTGCTCAGAAGCTCCAGCACAGGGGGTCCTCCTGAAGCTGTCTGATTTGGAGACACAGTGTATTGAGTCTCCCATATCAATGTCAACTTGGACACTGTGCCCAACAGCCTTGAACTGTGGTTATCCTGTTTCCCTGCATTCATTCACCCAGTGCAGAGCCAGAGGTCCCTTTAGGAAGGGCTGGGGGATCATCCTAGTGTCTATTTGCCATGGTGCTGTCGTGTCCTTCTGCCTGGGGACCTGGCCACTTTCCTAGTCCATGGTTCTGATGCCACCAGGCCAGGTCTGAGGACCCAGAGGGTTCCTGCAGGACCAGCCAGGAGGGTCTCTGGCTGTACACAGAATAGAAATCAAACGTGAGCCAGCAGGAGGTGAAAGCAGAGTTTATTGAAGATCTAGAGAAAGTGCAGGAACAGAGTGTCTGGGAGACTCTGAAAGGAGAGGAGAGAGTCTTGTCTTTGTTTGGGGTCTGGGGTTTTTATTGAGGATGGTGGTCTGGTGTACATGTCCCCTCAGGCATCCAGGAATGGTTAGAACAAAGGCGAGGATCCAGGTGTTATTCCTTAGAGCCAGGTGCCTTGGCATCAAGACGTCTAGCACCGGTGGTCTGGAATCAGCCTATGATGGCTTTGTCTGGTCATTCTTATCTGGTCTTTCCTTAGATGTTATCAATTCTGGAGAAATCA